AAACTTGTTTTAAAGTTAAGCAACTTTTCTTCGATTTCAGGATAAGTGACACTTTACTGTCCTCTGAAACCACAGTATAGATTACATTTCACTATTAATTAACCTTTCTTCATAGCATCCTGTCTTTGGCATTTATAGCACATATTTCAATTACAACTAGTAAGTACATAAAATTATTTATTTAGTTTATCCCACTACAACCTGTAAGATTATTCCAGTAAAGGCTGTCAGACAGGGAGTATATCTACTTTATTCATGTGGAATCTCTACCATCTCACAAAGAGTTTTTGTTAAATGGACAAATGGATGCGATGGATGAATCAAATAATTTGTTAAATATATTCTTAAAAATATGTCCAATTTTTAAAGTCTGAAAGCCCATTTGATAGTTTTATTGCATTTTTCACTTACTTTTATTTGGTTACTTGGAGACCATTAATTTCTTCACACTTACCAGCATAACTCCTATATACTCCTTAAAAAGTCAGAATCCTACCACTGTACCTATGAACCAAAAACTCTACAAATCCAATCCTATTCACTTTTGTCCAGCTCCTTACTCTGTGCCAGTTTCCAGCTCATGTGCATTCTGGTGAACCCGCTCCACACTTCAGCACCTGAGGAACTGAACTAGCAGCTTGCTTGTTCATCTCTCTAACTAGGACTAAGCCTCTCAACCTCCACAATATGAGAAATAATTCAGACACTTGCGGGTAAAATTCTTATCTTCTTGTTTCAGGCTTCTCTCTCATTCAAACAAGTCTATGACCTCTATTTTCCTTTGATTTGGAATATAAATTACTTTATCTTCCATTGTTACTGTCTTAATGAAAAAGAAGGGCTGATTATACAAGAAGAAAGCCTAACTCTTTAAATTCCTGGATGATATATATCCATATTTTTGGACTCATGTCTGTCCTATTTCTGTATCTGAAATAAAGGTAAACTCACAGCTGGCACATCAATAAAAATTTCAAATTATTTATATCTCTTTCATATTAAAAAGTGGTTGTTTTTGAAAAGCTAGGACAATTTTGGTGAAAAGACAAGATTTAGGAATGGTTTTGATGACACTAATAAGATAAAAGATAATATTTTTATATAAATTTAAGTATGAGAAAATGCATGCTCCTTAGATAAATATTTGCTATTATATAGTTCCTTTATCAGTTTCTTCCATCTACAAACCACAAGGATGCCAACTAAATAATTTTATTTGTATTGTATTGGATGTTACTCAAATCATATTTTACTATCTTTATGCTTGTATTAAAACAACAAATAATCATGACTATCCCTAATTATCTTTAAACTTGGTTCTGAAGCATGTACACATCAAAGTGACATGGTTTGGCTGTGTCCCCAGCCAAAACTCATTTTGAATTGGAGCTCCCATAATTCCCACATGTTGTCGAATGGACATGGTGGGAGATAAATGAATCATGGGGGCAGTTTCCACATACTGCTCTCCTGGTAGTGAATAAGTCTCACGAGATCTGATGGTTTTATAAGGGAAAACCCCTTTCACTTGGTTCTCATTTCTCTCTAGTCTGCTGGCATGTAAGACCTGCCTTCTGCCTTCCACCATGATTGTGAGAACTCCTCAGCATGTAGAACTGTGAGTGCATTAAACCCTTATTTTAAATAAATTATCCAGTCTCAGATATATTTTTATCAGCAGCATGAAAACAGACTAAAACACAAGGCTTTTCTCTGATTAGCATGTTGTCTATTGTCTCAATGTCTTACAAACTAAAAAACAGTGCTCATTATAGGTATAAAATCATAATGTAGCCTTTAAATTGTCTTTTAGCACCCCTCACAGTTATAATTATATAAACGATAACAATTACCATTATATATAATAATTATATCATAGTTGCAAGTACAGACTCTAGTTCAAGATGACTGAGTCTATATTAGGGCTGCACATTTATTACCTTCCTGCCCTTAGGCAAGTAACTTCTATAGATTCCTAAATAATGGTGATAGCAACACTACTGAACTCATTGTTTTACTATATAGATTAATTGAGATTAAATGAGTGTTAGTCATAGAGGTAGTCCTCAATCAGAAATTCTCATTACTTCAATTGAATATGATGGTATACTTGAATTAGTCCAATTTACCTTAGAAAAAGTGTAAACGTATACTCTTCATCAATTACATCTCACTTCCTTTTGACTTATTCTTAGGACAACAGTGATTCTGCTGAAACAAAAAGGAAAAAAAGAAAAAATCCAACTTAATGGGAGCTTATTTTTAATATCGCCCTTTCTTAAAAAAAATTGGTACCAAAGGGAAGATGAGGAATTTTCATGGCATATCTTCAGAATCATGCTAGGTTTGCTTGATTTAACTTTTATTTTAGATAGTAGACTTGGCATTATTTCACAAGATTATATATTAGTGAAACTTCATATGTAAATTTTCTCTACAAGCTCTGTACACTATATATCCAGTGATGCACAGTTTACTTAAATGATCAAGACCCTGAGAAAAACCTCTTTACATTCTGAAGCTTTCTCTGTAATTCCAAAATATATTCAATCATGTTGATGAAATACACTATCAAGATCAATCTGAAGTCATATGTAGCAATCCAATTTTATTTTAAATATAAGCATTAACTTTAAATATATGTATATATATATGTATATGTATATATATATATATATTTCCATAGGATTTGGGGGAACAGATGGCATTTGGTTACATGAGTAAGTTATTCAGTGGTAATTTGTGAGATTTTAGTGCACACATCACCTGAGAAGTATACACTGAAGCCAATTTGTGTGCTTTTATTCCTACCTGCTCCCACTCTTTCCCAAGAGTCCCTGAAGATCATTGTACTATTCTATTTTTTGTTTTGTTTTTCATTATTTAAGTTCTGGGATATATGTACAGAACATACAGGCTTGTTACATAGCTATACATGTGCCATGGTGGTTTGCTGTACTCAACAACCCGTCATATACTTTAGGTATTTCTACTAATGCTATCCCCCAGCCTACCGACCAACAGGCCCTGGTATGTGATATTACCTTCCCTGTGGCCATGTGTTTTCATTGTTCAACTCCCAATTATGAGTGAGAACATTTGGTGTTTGATTTTCTGTTCTTGTGTTAGTTTGCTGAAAATGATTGTTTCCAACTTTATCCACATCCCTGCAAAGGACATGAACTCATTCTTTTTCATGGCTGCATATTATTCCATGGTGCATATGTGCCACATTTTCTTTATCCAGCTTATCATTGATGGAAATTTGGGTTGGTTCAAAGTCTTTGCTATTGTGAACAGTGCTGCAATAAATATATGTGTGCATGTGTCTTTATAGTAGAATGATCTATAATCTTTTGAGTATATACCCAGTAATAGGATTGCTGGGTCAAATTATATTTCTGGTTCTAGATCCTTGAGGAAATGCCACACTGTCTTTCATAATGGTTGAACTGATTTATACTCCAACCAACAGTGTAAAAGCATTCCTTTTCCTCCACATACTCTCCAGAATCTGTTGTTTCCTGATTTTAATGATTGCTGTTCTAATTGGTGTGAAATGGTGGTTTTGATTTGCCTTTCTCTAATGACCAGTGATGATGAGCTTTTTAAAATAAGTTTGTTGGTCGCATAAATGTCTCCTTTTGAGGAGTGTCTTTCATATTATTTGCCCACTTTTTGATGAGGTTATTTTTTCCTTGTAAATTTAATTTCTTTCTAGCCTTTTGTCAGATGGATAGATTGCAAAAAATTTTCCCCATTCTGTAGGTTGCCTGTTCACTGTGTTGGTAGTTTCTTTTGCTATGCAGAAGCTCTTTAGTTTAATTAAATCCAATTTGTCAATTTTGGCTTTTGTTGCCATTGCTTTTGGTGTTTTAGTCATGAAGTCTTTGCCCATGCCTATGACCTGAATGGTATAGCCTAGGTTTTCTTTTGAGTTTTTATGGTTTTGGTCTTACATTTAAGTCTTTAATCTATCTTGAGTTAATTTTTGTATATGTGTAAGAAGGGGTCCAGTTTCAGCTTTCTGCACATGGCTAGCCAGGTTTCTCAACACCATTTATTGAACAGGTAATCCTTTCCTCATTGCTTTCCCCATGGTTGTCGATATGTGGTGTTGTTTCTGAGGTCTCTGTTCTGCTTCATTGGTCTATATATCTGTTTTAGTACCAGTACCATGCTGTTTTGGTTACTGCAGCTTTGTGGTATAGTTTGAAGTCAGATAGCATGATGCCTGCAGCTTTGTTCTTTCTGCATAGGATTGTCTTGGCTATCCTAAGCAAGGGTTCTTTTTGGTTCCGTATGAAATTTAAAGTACTTTTTTTCTAATTCTGTTAAGAAAGTCTATGGTAGCTTGATGGGAATAACACTGAATCCATAAATTACTTTGGGTTGTATGGCCATTTTCATGATAACAATTCTTCTTATCCATAAGCATAGAATGTTTTTCCATTTGTTTGTGTCCTCTCTTATTTTCTTGAGCAGTGGTTTGTAGTTCTCCTTGAAGAGGTCCTTCACATCTCTTGTAAGTTGTATTCCTAGGTATTTTATCTCTTTGTAGCAATTGTGAATGTAAGTTCACTCATGATTTGGCTCTGTGTTTGTCTATTATGGTGTATAGGAATGCCTGTGATTTTTGCACACTGATTTTATATCCTAAGACTTTGCTGAAATTGCTTATCAGCTTAAGGAGATTTGGGGCTGGGACAATGGGGTTTCCTAAATATACAATCATGTCATTTGCAGAGACAATTTGACTTCCCCTCTTCCTATTTGAATACCGTTTATTGCTTTCTCTTTCTTGATTGCACTGGCCAGAACTTCCAATACTATGTTTAATAGGAGTGGGGAGAGAGGGCATCCTTGTCTTTGTTGATTTTCAAAGGGAATGGTTCCAGCTTTTGCCCATTCAGTATGATACTGGCTGTGGGTTTGACATAAATAGCTCTTATTATTTTGAGATATGTTCTGTTGATACCTAGTTTATTGAATCTTTTTAGCAGGAAAAGGTGCTGAGTTTTATCAAAGGCCTTTTCTGCATCTATTGAAACAATCATGTGGTTCTTGTTATTGGTTCTGTGTATGTGATGGATTATGTTTATTGATTTGCATATGTTGAATCAGCCTTGCATCCCAGGGATGAAGCCAACTTGATCATGGTGGATATGCCTTTTGATGTGCTGCTGGATTCAGTTTTTCAGGATGTTGTTGAGGATTTTCACATCAATGTTCATTAGGGATATTGGCCTGAAATTTTCTTTTTTTGTTGCGTCTCGGCCAGGTTTTGGTATCAGGATGATGCTGGCCTCATAAAATGAGTTAGGGAGGAGTCCCCTCTTTTTCTATTGTTTAGAATAGTTTCAGAAGGAATGGTACCAGCTCCTCTTTGTACCTGTATTAGAATTCAAAGGTGAATCCATCAGGTCCTGAGCTTTTTATTGGTTAGTAGACTATTAATTGCTGCCTCAATTTCAGAACTTTTTATTGGTCTATCCAGAGATTCGACTTCTTCTTAGTTTAGTCTTGGGAGAGTGTACATGTTCAGGAATTTAGCCATTTCTTCTAGATTTTCTAGTTTATTTCATAGAGGTGTTTAAAGTATTCTCTGATGGTAGTTTGTATTTCTGTGGAATCAGTGGTGATATCCTCTTTATGATTTTTTATTGTATCTATTTGATTCTTCTTTCTTTTCTTCTTTATTAGTCTGGCTAGCAGTGTATTTATTTTGTTAGTCTTTTAAAAAAACAGCTCCTGGATTCATTGATATTTTGAAGGGTTTTTCATGTTTCTATCTCCTTCAGTTCTGCTCTGATCTGTTATTTCTTGTCTTCTGCTAGCTTTTGCATTTGTTTGCTCTTGCTTCCCTAGTTCTTTTAATTGTGATGTTAGGGTGTTGATTTTAGATCTTTCCCAATTTCTTATGCGGACATTTAGTGCTATAAATTTCTCTGTATACACTGCTGTAACTGTATCCCACAGATTCTGGTATGTTGTGTTTTTGTTCTCATTGGTTTCAAATAACTTATTTATTTCTGCCTTAATTTCATTATTTACCCAGTGACTACATTCAGAAGCTGGTTGTTCAGTTTCCATGTAGTGGTGAGATTTTAGTGAGTTTATTAATCCTGAGTTCTAATTTGATTGCACTGTGGTCTGAGAGACTGTTATGATTTCCATTATATTTTATTTGCTGAGGAGTTTTTTTACTTCCAATTATGTGGTCAATTTAAGAATAAGTGCTATGTGTTGTTGAGAAGAATGTATATTCTGTTGTTTTGGGGTGCAGAATTCTATAGATGTTTATTAGGTCCACTTGTTCCAGAGCTGAGTTCAAGTCCTGCATACCCTTGTTAATTTTCTATCTCATTGATTTAATATTGACAGTGGGGTGTTAAAGTCTCCCACTATTATTGTGTGGGAGTCTAAGTCTCTTTGTAGGTCTCTACGAACTTGCACTATGAATCTGGGTGCTCCTGTATTGGGTGCATATAAATTTAGAATATTTATTTCTTCTTGTTGCATTGATACCTTTACCGTTATGTAATGCCCTTCTTTGTCTTGTTTAATCTTTGTTGGTTTAAAGTCTATTTTATCGGAGACTAGGATTGCAACCCCTGCTTTTTTTTTCTTTCTATTTGCTGGGTAAATATTCCTCCATCCCTTTATTTTGAGCCTATGTTTGTCCCCTGAGCAAGACTATTTGGCTCCCTGGCTTCAGCACCCTTTCCAGCAGAGTGAATGGTGCTCCAAATGCCACTGGGGTACCAAAAAAAAAAAAAAAAAAAAAAACTTCTGAAGCTAGCTCAGTGTCTGCCCAAATGGGTACCCAGTTTTGTGCTTGAAAGCCAGGGCCCTGGTGGTGTAGGCACCCGAGGGAATCTCCTAGTCTGTGGGTTGTGAAGACTGTGGGACAAATGTAGTATCTGTGCCAGATAGCACTGTCTCTCGTGGCACAGTCCCTCACAGCTTCTCTTGGTTAGTGGAGGAAGTTTCCTGACCCCTTGCACTACCTGGGTGAAGTGACACTTCACCCTGCTTCTGCTTGCCTTCTCTGGGCTGCACCCACTGTCTAACCAGTCCCAATGAGATGAACTAAGTACCCCAGTTGGAAATGCAGAAATCACCCACCTTCTGTGTTGGTCTTGCTGGGAGCTGCAGACCAGAGCTATTCCTATTCAGTCATCTTGCCAGCCCTCTCCGTTATTTTATTCTTATGCCTTTGCATCCTCACAGCTTAGCTCCCACTTATGGGTGAGAACATATGATGTTTGATTTTCCATTCCTGAATTACTTCACTTAGAATAATAGTCTCCAGTCCCATCCAGGTTTCTGTGAATGCTATTAACATTAATTCATTACTTTTAATAGCTGAGTAGTATTCCATCATAAATATATATATTTATATAACATATATCACAATTTCATCATAAATATATATAGTATTCCATCATATATATGTATATATATGTGTGTGTGTGTATATGTCACAATTTATTTACCTACTCATTGACTGATGGGCATTTGGACTGGTTCTACATTTTTGCAGTTGTGAATTGTGCTGCTATAAACATGCATGTGCAAGTATCTTTTTCACATAATGCCTTCTTTTCTTCTGGGTAGATACCCAGTAGTGGGATTGCTGGATCAAGTGGTAGCTCTACTTTTAGTTCTTTAAGGAATTTTCATATTGTTTTCCATAGTGGTTGTACTAGTTTACATTCCCACCAGCAGCGTAGAAGCGTTTCCTTTTCACTGCATCCATCCTAACATCTATTTTTTTTTTTTTTTTACTATACCGTTCTTGCAGGAGCAAACCTAAAAGTCATATGGAGCCCAAAAAGAGCCCATATAGCTAATGAAAGACTAAGCAAAAAGAACAAATCTGGAAGCATCACATTACCTGACTTCAAACTATACTATAAGGCCATAGTTACCAAAACTGCATGATGCTGGTATAAAAATAGGCACACAGACCAAAGGAACAGAATAAAGAATGCAGAAATAAACCCAAATACTTACAGCCAACTGATCTTCAACAAAGCAAACAAAAACATAAAGTGGGAAAAGACATCATATTCAAAAAATGGTGCTGGGATAACTGGCAAGCCACATGTTGGAGAATGAAACAGGATTCTCATCTCTCATCTTATATATTAAAAAAAAAGAAAAAAGACTCAAGTGGATCAAGGACTTAAATCTAAGAACTGAAAGTATACAAATTCTAGAAGACAACATCAAAAACACTCTTCTAGACATTGACTTAGGCAAAGACTTCATGACCAAGAATCCGAAAGCAAATGCAACAGAAACAGCGATAAACAGATGGGACTTAATTAAACAAAAGAGCTTCTGTAAAGCAAAAGGAACAGTCATCAGAATAAACAGACAACCCGCAGAGTGGGAGAAATTCTTCACAATCTATACATCCAACAAACAACTAATATCCAGAATCTACAAGAAAATCAAACAAATTAGCAAGAAAAAACAACTCCATTCTAAAGTGGGCTAATGACATGAATAGACAATTCTCAAAAGAAGATTTACAAAGGGTCAACAAACAAACGAAAAAATGTTCAACATCACTAATAATCAGGAAAATGAAAATCAAAACCACAATACAATACCATCTTATTCCTGCAAGGATTAACTTTTTAAAAGTAACACTGAAACCTAGAGTGACCTCCCTAATCTTGTCAATTTTTGCAGAGTTTAAAGTTTCACTGAAGATAGTTGAATTTTAAAAGCTATGTTTTTCTGAAAATCTGATTGCAAAAATATAAATTCTATCAACATTTATTCTCAGGGAGAGCCTATGCCATAGATCATGTATAAGAAAAAGAACAAAAGGAAAGCTAAAGGTAGAGACACAGAGAGAGCAAGCAAGTCTTGGACTAAATTACAGAAAATAACAAGGTGAAGAAACATTTTTATGTATGAACCTATAGAGCCACCCACATGCCCATATGCAGCTACACCTTCAACTCTTATGGCTCAGAGTATATTAGCCCAAGTAGTCTATCACAGATTTTATTGCCAAGGTCATCTCTCCGCAGAATTTGATGGATCAAGAGCTGGGAGCCACATTTCCTTCTTTTTGAGGGCTAATTAGTATACTCTGTGTGTGTGTGTGTCTGTGTGTGTGTGTGTGTGTGTGTGTGTGTGTGTATGTATCAAATTTTATCTATTCATCTGTCAATGGACTTTAGGTAAGCTGCATATCTTGGCTATTGCGAATACTGCGTAATGGACATGGAAATGCAGATAGTTTTCCAACATATTGATTTTAGTTCTTTTAAATATATACCCAGTAGTGGGATTGCCAGATCATCTGGGTGCTCTTCTATTCTTGTTTTCTTAAGGAAGCTCTATGCTGTTTATCATGATAGCCATATTAATTTATCTGCCTACTAACAAAGTACAGGAGTTTCCTTTTCTTCCTATCCTCACCAGCACTTATCTTTGATTTTTTTGATAAAATTCACTATAACAGATCTGAAGTGATATATCATTGTAGTTTTAATTTGCATTTCTCTAATGATTAATAATGCTGAGATGCCGAGCAGTGTTTTATATACCTGTTGGCCACTTGTATGTCCTCTTTTGAGAAATATCTCTTTAACTCCTTTGCCCATTTTTAAAATCAGATTATTTCTTGCTGTTTGTTTGGCTTCCTTATATGCTTGGATGTTAACCCTTTAAAAGCCATATCATTTACAAATATTTTCTCTCATTCTGTGAGTTGCTGCTTCAATTCTTTATCATTTATTTTGCTTTCCTCGATGTGTGTTTTTTGTCAATTTGTCATAAAGTAATTAACTATAAACATGTGGATTGATATTTGAACTTTCTATCTCATTGCACAGGTTGATATGTTTGTATGACAGTACTATGTTTACAATCACTTTATAATATGTTTTGAAATCAGATAATGTGATGTCTTCAGCTTTGTCTTTTTGCTTGTTTGTTTTGCAGGGAGGATTTTATTTTTTTAATTGCTTTGACTTTTCAGAGT